ACATTGCATCTTCTTAGATATGGACCAGTTTCTAGACTATCAAGATCTTTTTAGATCCTGACACTGCCATCCAGTGAGTTTAGTTTTCTCCTTTAATTTGGTAACACCAGCAAATTGGATAAGGATGCATCTGGACTTTTTTCAAGTCACTGATAAAAAAGTTAAAGAGTAGGGGGCCAAATACCCTTCCCTGGAGCACACCACCCGAAAACTCCTTCCAAAATGGCAACAAACCATTAATGACACACTTTGATTTCAGCCATTCAACCAATTCTGAAACCACCTAATTATATTAGTGTCTAGCCCACAGCTCTCTATCTCTTTGACAAGAATAGCAAGAATGACTTTATTAACTGTCTTGCTAATTGCCTATCGGCCACTTCAAACCCAATGTCCTAAAGCCATCACAAACTCAACAAGTCCACAGCAGAGTTTGTTATCGCCTCTCCTCCCCACTGCCAGGCAAACTTATCCCTGCACTAAGCATCCCTATTACTGCCAAGAACAGAACCATCCCAACAGTCACCAGGGTTCATAACCTTAAGGTCATCTTTAAGACCTCACTCTCTCTCATTCCACATACCCAATGAGTGGCCTGTATTTATTGTTTCTTTCTCTACAACATCTTTCAAATACATCCCCTTCCCTATACTTACATGACCACTATGCTAGTTCAAACCCTTATCACTTCTCACTTAGCCTGAGGCAATAGCCTCCTAACAGATCTTGGTTCTGTGAGATCTTGAACAAGTCCCTTTTCTTTTCTAGGCCTCAGTTGACTCTTCTGTCAAATCAGATAAAGATAGTTACTTCCACTCTCTCTCTACTTCAATCCATCTTCTACACAGCTGCCAAAGTGAGTTTTCTAAAGTTACCCCTCTACTCAGTAAACTCCTTATCACTTCAGGATAGAATAGAAAGTTTTCCATTTGGCATTTAAAACTCTTCCCAACCCAGCCCCTTCCAACCTTCCAGTCTTCCTACATTTTACTCTCCTCCAGACATACCCTAAAACCCCATTTGCTGTTCCTCATCTATGACATTCCCATCTTCGTGCCTTTGCACTGACTATCCCCCATACCTAACATTCTCTCCCTCCTCACCTTTACTCTTAAAATGCTTAGCTTGGTCTTCCACTTCCTGAAGCCAAGATGGCAGAGTGAAAAAGGTAGTCGCTCTCACCCTCCCCTATCAACCTCTGAAAACCCAGAAAATATCACCCCAGGAAAAAAAAAAACCCTGGAACAGCTGAACTAGAAGAAAGATGGGGAACAGCAGTGCAGCAGCCCAGCACTACAAAGGGCCCCAGGCGGATAAGCACCCTGCAGCATTCATCTGAAAGGAGCTGAAGAAAGCAACTTCCTAAAGTCCCAGCCTTGCTGATTCCAACCCAACACCAGGTAAGCTGTCAGAACCCTACAGGCTCCAACTGTCAACCAGGAAGAGATCCTGAAGCCCAGGTGGTAGAGCAGGCAAACACCAACACCTGGACCTCCCAGTGCCTCAGTGAGGGCAGGGGAACCAGTGGAAACCAGCTCAGAAAACCACCAGGTGCCTCAGAACTCTACCTCAAAGGAATCTCCCAGTGCATTAGCAAAAAACGAGGGAGGCAGCATTGCAAGGGTCTCCAGAGAGATAAACACCCTGCAGCACCCATCTAAAAGGAGCTGAAGAAAGCTAAAGGAAAGGAAAAGCAGGCAACCTAGAATTGCCTGAAAATTCCAGCCTTGCTGATTCCAGCCCAACACAAAGTGGGCTGCCAGGGCCCCACAGCCTCCAATTGCCAACATAAAGAGGCTGCAGCACGCAAAGCCAGTGGTCAGGACCTAGGCTCCCAACACAAGAAGCTTGGATCAGTGCCCTCTCTTCCCCAGCAGGAGAGCTCAATCTCTTTAAAGGCCAGGGAATAAAGAAACCATGAGTAAAAAGAAACATACTATAGATTCATATTATGAGAAGAATGAAGATCAAGACAGAAATTCCGAACAGGACAACATTGTCAACAAACCCACATCTTCAAGATCAAAAGGGAATATGAACTGGTCTGAAGCCCAAAGAGCCTTCTTAGAAGAGCTCAAGAAGGATTTTAAAAGGCTAATGAGAGAGGTAGAAGAGTCCTTAAAAAATACAATTGGCCAATTGGAAAAAAAGTACACCGAAGAAAACAAGTCCCTAAAAAACACAATTGGCAAACTGGAAAAAAGTACACTGAAGAAAACAAATCCCTTAAAAATACAATTGGCCAACTGAAGAAGGAAGTACAAAAACTAACAGAATTAAAATGCTTGGCTTCCTTCAAGCTCAAATACCACCTTTGGCAAGAGGCCTTTCTCATCACCCCCAAGAGTTAGAGCCTTCCCCTCTCAATTTATCTTCCACCTACTCTGCATGTATCTCGTATGAGCCTATTTATTTACATGTTGTCTCCTCCATTAGAATGTAAGTTCCTTGAAGACAAAGACTATTGTTTTTTTTCTTTTCTTTTCTTTTTATCCTCAAGGCTTAGTACAAGACCTGGCACTAAATCAGCACTTAATGAATGCTCACTAACTACTTGACTGATCTGATCTTAGAACAAACCATGTAGGGCAGGGGTTATTTTTGGTGGCTTTTGGGGGAACCAGAATCTGTGACTCATTCACATAAGGAACAATGGATGAGAGGTTAAGTAAATTTGCCCTCGGTTACATAGGGAGTATGTGGGACAGCAGGGATCTGAACTAAGATCTTCTTGACCTTGAGGCCAGCTCTCTATCCAATACACCAAACTGCCTAGCTAATCCTATTTAACCTTGACTGGAATCCCAGTTGGCATTCAAGGGCCTCCATTTCTAGTCCTTCATACCTCCTACTCATTTAACCTCATTTTGCACTACTACTCAGGACAAAAACTTCTCCAGAAAGGCCAACTCCTTGTATCCCTCTCAAATCTTCACCTCCTCTTAACTTTCCCTTTCTTTTTGCATTTTCCAACTTTTCCCATTCTGACTTGGAGTCAAGCTGGAATCTTCCCACTCCTGCACATCCCACCCCAAATTAATTGCCAGGTCCTAGAGGTCCCCATCTGCCTATCTCTCCCACATCCGTCACTTCCTTTTCACTTACATTGCAGTTCATTTCAGGACCCCATGCTTTGGATATGCACAGATCAGTTCCTTACACCAACACCTAAAGTGGTTCCCCGCTGCCATCCAAATAAAACACCAACTCTTTGGCCAGGCCTTCATAGGGCTCCATGGTCAGCAAGCTGCCCTGGCAGTGGTTTTATTCTACTAGCATCCTCAATCTCAGCCAAACTAGACTCCTTATTTTTTCCCAATCATCCCACCTTCTGCCACTCACATGCCTTTGCACATGCTGTCTCCCATGCTTGGCCCAAACCACCCCTCAGCCTTTCTCGTCTCTTCCTCCTGCCATCTTCCCCTTCCTTCAAGGCCCAGCTCAGGAGCCATTTCCTCCATGAAGTCTGCCCAGCTAGAAGTGATTTTTTTCCTCCCTAAACTTCTTAGGTTCTAGTTAATCTGATACATCCCATGCACATATTCATTTTCTAACTTGTGCTCATAGTGGTTTGCACACGTATTTTATCTTCTCTACTAAACTGCAATCTCCAGGGTAACAGCTGTCATTTATACAGTGCTTTAAGGTTTGCAAAGAGCTTTATATCTTTGTTCTCCTCTGATCCTTAGGACAACTAACTCCATGACATAAGCACTACGCTGAGGGACTGCCATTTTTCGTCTTTGTATCCCCAGTACCTAACATAGATCCTTGGGCTTAGCAGGTCCTTCTACGTTTGTTTGTTGACTCAAATTCCCCTTCCATGGCTCACCCTCAGTCCCATCTTTGCTAACGCTATTCCCAACATCTGCCATACTTCCACTTCAAATTCTACACCTTCCACTGTTTTCTCCAATAACCATAATGCTGTTGTTCAATCATTTCGGTCACATCCAATTCTTTGTGACCCTATTTGGGGGTTTCTTGGCAAAGACACTAGGGTGGTTTGCCATTTTCTTCTCCAGCTCATTTGACAGATGAGGAAACTGAAGCAAGCAGGGTTAAGTGACTTGCCCAGAGTCACACAGCTAGTAAGTGTCTGAGGCCATATTTGAACTCAGGTCTTCCTGACTCCAGGCCTGACGCTCTACTTACTCCACCACCTAGCTGCCCCAATAACCATAAGTGGATACTTGTGGTTTACAGAGTGCTTCCTTCACAATCACCCTGTGATAGAGGATACAGCAAATGACATTATCTCCATCTTACTGATATGCAAACTGAGATTCAGAGAGGTAAGGTGATCAGCTCCAGATCACAGGACTGGCTAGTGATAAGACTGAGACTAGACTCCAGGCCCTCTTTCCACTACCTCACACTTCCCATCTTCCTTCCCAGAATTCTTACAGCATGTATAATCTCTATCCCATAAAGTCTCCAGCCTACAACCTATTACTTGCTCTTGTACTGCCTAGCGTTGGTCTCTAGCTGTTCCATGCACACAGATTCCAACTGGCTTTAAACTTCACTGGGACAACATATTTTGCACAATGCTGGGCATATGGCAGGTGCTTAAATAGAAACTCATTGACGTAAATACCTATGACGGAAACCCACTAGAACAAAAAGGCTTTCAGCAGAGCATCCACAGCCCAGGAGTGGATTCTATTGGACTACTGAGAGATGGTCTCCAGAAAGCCTTTGCTTCCCAGAATACTTTGAGGTTATGCACCTGTACCTAAAGGGGCAGGACCATAACCTTGAAAGGTGCAGGGCCATCACTTCAAAGCATGCTGGCATCCAGGATGACACAAAGCTATCCCCTCAGGACCTTCTACCTGAGGGAAAATATCTCTTGGACTCAGGCTGGGGCACAGCAGGCTGCCTCAGGTAAGGAGACTTCTCCACACTACTAAAATCCCAACTTTCCCATTATAATCTCAGGTGGAGAGTGAGAACATGACTACTATGTAGCACTGTGGAAAGAGAAGCGGTCCTACCGTCAGGAGATCTGGCTTCAAATCCTGTCACCGATCCTCATTAGTGTGTAATACTAGGAAGTCCTTTAACCTCTGTTTCCTCACCTGAAAATGGCAACAATAATACTTGCATTACTGACCTCATAGTTCTAGTTCAGTCATGTCCAACTCTTGATACCCCCACCTAGGTTTTGTGTTATCTCCCTCCAATCAAGCTGACTTGCTTTATGGCTGTGTTTCTTTCTGTACTTGGTATTTTAAGCTTTCTTAAAGTCTGCATTAGGACACCAGGGCACCTAGTTATCATGGCAATAGTCAAAGAAGAGGGAAAAGGTAATCTGGGATTAGGTAGAGGGAAACTCTGAAGTCAAGGACTCAAGTGTGATGAGGAAATCACCAATGTCCAAGAGTCTCAGTGGCTCAGGCTAGGACCAATGATAAGGAAGTTTGGAGAATAAAGACACAAGTCCAGTAGAACAGTTCTAAGAGGAGGAAATGGTGGCTTAGCAAGATGGTATGGGTCATCAAGACTGATCACTGCACACTTCTGGTCATTTATGAGGGCACAAATGATCCTTCTAGGATCTTAGATTTACATCTGGAAGGGACCTCAGAGGACAACTAATCGAACCCTCCCATTTTACAGCTGTAGGACTGCGGCTGAGATAGGTTACGTGACTTGACTAAGGTAACCCAGGAAGTAAGTAGTAGATCCAGGATTCAAATTCAGTTGTTCTGATTTGAAATCCAGCACACTCTCCACTGTTCTATATTGACAGAAAGAATCCAGGAAGTGGCTGAGTAAACTGTAGTATCATGCATATTATTGCACCATAAATGAAGGATAGGAAGAATTCAATGTGGGTACTACTTCAACTGAAGCAAATCACACACACATAACCCCCACCCCAACCTAAAAGTCTGTCATTGAGAGTTGGTATGATCCAAAATCATAACATGGTTAATCTAGTGATTACCTTCTCCAAACTCAGCTAACTTGTTCCTAGCAATAATAATAACAACAACATATTTATGGTAATTCAAAGTTTACAAATTACTTTCACATAATATCTTACTTGAATATCACAATAGAACTATGAGGTAAGCTGAGTGGATATTTTTATCCCCATTTCACAGACCAGAAAACTGAGGTTCAGAAATGTTAAATTACTTGACCTTGGTCAGGCAATAGTAAGTTTTACTTGAGCCCTAACTCAAACTCAAGTCTCCCATGCTTTTTTTTTTTTTACATGCATCCCTTTGGTAAGAATGGAAGGTTAAGAGATGACGCTCAGAGAAAAAGTGAGTTTTGAAAATAGGGATTTCCTGGCTCTGGGATGAGAACAGAGCAAGAGTCAATAATATGCTTCCAGGCAACCAGGAAGGCAGCTACCATCTTCCTATCTCAGGGACTCCCTTCCCAGGGCAGGGTGGAAATCATTGTGGCTGACCCAGCCGAATTTTATGAGAAAGAAACATAAATGAGACCATGGCTTGAACCAGAGCTGGGTCCTACCTTCCCCAACAGGGACAACCACACTACAAACATTGAAATTCTAGTTTGCCTCCATTCCCTACCTCCAAACCAACAAGCAGATCACAGCCTTCACTAATTCTGCTTTGTTCTCTGTCCTTAGGATTTCCCAGGAAAAGGGTGAAGAAATCCTCTGGGGGCCCTTCTTCCTTTCTGATTCTGCTGTGGAACCCCATGACTCAATCTTCCTAGGCCATACTACCAAGTTCCTTTTCCTGTCCTCTCCTCCATCCTGTCCCAAGGATGCTGTGATCATTTCCCATTCAATGGTGATATGGAAAGGAGTCTGTTAAATCCATCAAAGGACTGGGAAATGGAGGTAGGAAAAGTCTGAGAAATGGGGGCAAGCAACAAGAATTATCAAAAGAGAGGCTGGTGAAGGCAGGGATCATATCTTATAAGGGATTATGGAGAGCACAGAGAGAGCCAAAGGAAGAGGCGAGGAAAAAAAAAGAACAGAGCCCCAGTTTTCCAGAAAGATACACAACAAAGGAGAAGAGGAAAGATTTATAGAATGCTTTTTAAGTTTTACAAAGCACTTTATACATGTAATGTCATTTGATCCTCAAAACAATCTGTAACAGGTGCTACAGGTGTTACTGTCACTATTTTACAGATAAAAACTGAGGCTGGGAGATTTTCAGGATGTGCTTGCTCATGGTCACACAACGAGTCAACAATTAGAAACCGGAATCAAACTTAGGTCTCTCACAATTCCAGGGCTTTTACCACTATAACACACCCTCAAGACAAAAGCTATGAGATGAGCACAGTGCCGGGCACATAGGAGCTGCTGAATAAATGTTTACTGACTATTGACAGGAGACAAAGAAGACCACAACGACTTCCCAATTGTCCTTATGATTTCTCTCTCGCTTTCTACCAATCAAAGCCCATTTCAAAATGGGAATAATGGCATGGTAAAAAAAAAAAGTGCTGGATTTCGAGGCAGGCAATTAGCCAAGTCCTAGTTTTGTTCCTTGAAATATCTTGGGCAAGTTATTTTCCTTTTCTGGGCCTCAGTTTCCTTAGCTGCAAAATTAGGGAGCTGGACTTGGATGATCTCAAAGCCCCAACTAGTTACAACATTCTATGGTTTTGTGAACAATATCCATTCCAAGAAGTCTACCCTAACTGACTCCATCCAACTCTGATCACTGAACTTGTTTACAGGCTGCTATGCAAACCTTCTTCAGATCTGTGACTTCCAAAGTCACATTTCTTTTATTATCCCTTCAACTCAGAGTACACTGGCACCTACACAAGGGGTGTCTGAGTCATCATATGGACTGACTTTCATTTCTTACCTGCTGCTTGGCCTCCTGGGTCCTCTCTCTAAGTCCTCCACAAATGCCATTGCTCTTTTGGGATGACGCTTCTCTGTCCAATTGTGGAGCTCACTGGTCAGTGTATTCAGAACCGAGAGCCCTGGGACCACATCCTCTAGCATCCCTTCCCTCTCTAATCTTCAGTCCTTCCCTATCTACTGGCTGCTTCCCTGGGGCCCACAACATGCTCGTGTCTCCTCCATCTTTAGAAACCTTTCTGTGATCCTCCCATTCCTGCGAGCTATCATCCTGGGTCTCTCCTCTTCATGGCCAACCTCCTCGGAAAGTTATCACACTCAGTGCCGCCACCTTCTTTCACATCACTTGATTCCACACCTCAGCAATCTGCTTTACAGCTTCATTTATTTCAACTGAAACTGCCGTCTCCAAAGTTACTGATCTTAATTGCCAAATGTAATGGCCTTTCTTCAATCGTGATCCTCCCTAGCCTCCCCATAGCCTCCAACACTGCCAATCACCCTCTTCTCCTGCGCACTTTTTCCTCTCTAGGTTTTGGTGACACTGTTCTCTCCAGGTTCTCCTCCTACCCAGGACTGCTAGGAGATACAGTGGATAGAACGGCAGGCCTGAGGTCAGGAAGACCTGAGTTGAAATCCAACCTCAGATACTGACTAGCTGTGTGACACTGGGCAAGTCACATAACCTCTGTTTGCCTCAGTTTCCTCATCTGTGAAATAGGGTGATAATCACACTTACTTCCCAGGGTTGTCGTGAAGACCAAAAGAGATAATTGTAAAGTGCTTAGCACAGTGCCTGGCACAATAAGTGCTATATGAATGTTAACTATTACTACTACTATTACTGTTACTACTACTGCTGCTGTTGCTGCCACTGCCACCTAAGACTGGTCTTTTTCAATCTCCTTGCAAGAACTTCATCCAGGTCGAACATGGCTGCCCCCCAGGGCTCTGTCCTGGGCCTGCTTCTCCCTATATAATATCATCAGCTCCCATGGATTCAACAATCATCTCTATGCAGAAGACTCTCACATCTATATAATCAATCCTAAACTCTCTGGAGCTCCAGGCCTACAATTGTTTATTGACTATATCACACTAGACGTCCCACAGGCATCTCAAAGTCGACATGCCCAAAGAATTCTTCCCCCCAATCTCTTCCTTCTTCCAAATTTCCCTGCTACTGTTAAGGGCCAGACCAACTTCCCAGACACTGCAGACACCCAGGTTTGCAACCTTGATTCATACACACTCACCTCACATATCTAATTTGTCATTTCTACCTTCACATCTCTCATATACATCCCCTTCTCTCTACTTACACAGCCACCATCCTAATGCAGGGTGTTCTCCTCAACTTGTCTCTCCCTGCTACAATCTATTCTCCACTCAGCTGGCACTGTGATTTTTCCTAAATCGAAGAACTGACCATATCACCCCTCACATACTCTCTCACACACACACACACACACACACACACACACACACACACACACACACACTCAATATACTGTCATGGCTTCTTATTACCTCCACAACTAAACATAAAATCCCCAGTTTGGCTTTTAGCCTTTCACTACCTGGCCTCTTCCTCCCTTCCTTGTCTTCTTCCATTTTACTTCTCTACACAGTCTATGATTCAGTGTCACTGGACTTCTTGCTGTGCCTGAAATACAACTCTCCATCTGCCAACTCCATACCACGACTGTTCTCCATGACCACAGTGCCCTCCATCTTCACCTCCACCTCCTGGATTCCTTCAAGATTGGGCTCAAATCCTACCTTCTGCAGTAGGCCTCCCCCAACAACCCTTACCCAACCCCTTCCCTCTGAAATTATCTCCCACTTACCCTGTATATAGCACAATTATTTGCATGTAGTCCAAGAGAAGGAACCACATTTTTGCCTCTTTGTATCCCCAGAGCTTAGCACAGTGTTTGCCACATAACATAGCAAGTGTTTAATAAATGCTCCCTGATTTGCCTGTGAAGTGGAATGCAGCTCAGGTTGCAGCCAACAACAGCAAAAACCCCAGATTCCACTTAGGGACTTGGGGTTCATCCATACCAGGGAAATAGCTCAAGGCTAGGATCTTTGGTCAGTGAAGCTGGCTCGCTAAAGAGAGTCCTTCCTTTTCCACCTTCACAAGTAGAGGCCCCTTATGAAACCTAAAGGTTCCTGAACTGGGCAGACTAACAGAAGTTAACATCATTACCCCTCCAGTTGGCTCCTCATCTCTACAGCTGAAGTAGGCTTTCTTGTTGCATCTCTGGGTAACTGCATCTTCTGGGCACCTGGAGATGACAGAGATAGAATAACCTGTGACTTCCCCAGGGTCACACAGCCCGCATGCCTCAGAGGAATGGGGCACAGACCTAGACCTTTATATCTATCCACTCCTATTATAGGTTCAATCCTGCTCCATCTCATTCTGGAATACAATGAAGAGATAAGCTCCCAGAAGCACTTGTGGCCTAACATAGGAAACTAGGTCTGGGTCCTGGCTTTAACACTGACTAGCTAGGTGGCATGGGCAAGTTAACAGTTAAGCTCTTTGAGCCTCAATGTCCCCATGTGTAAAACAGGGATAATATTTAAACTACTTCACAGGGTGGGTCTGGGGAAAACATTTTGTACACTTTAACTGACATATTACTGTAAGCTCCATTTTAAACTTCCCTTGGGGGGGGGGCAGCTAGGTGGCACACTGTATTGGGTGTCAGGCCTGGAGTCAGGAAGACTCATCTTCAGGAGTTCAAACCTGGCCTCAGATACACACTAGCTGTGTGACCCTGGGCAAATCACTTAACCTTGTTTGCCTCAGTTTCCTCATCTGTAAAATAGGCTAGAGAAGGAAATGGCAAACTGCTCCAGTATCTGTGCCAAGAAAACCCCAAACGAGACATGATTCAACAACTGAACAACAAGGGGGGGTGGGGGTGGGGGGGGTGGGCGGGGAGCGTCTTGTATCATGCCCCCCTCCCCCAGCTCCTATCAAATGGCGCTTAATAAATGCAAATGTTTGTTGAATGAATGTTCCATCCATTAATAGATAACTCACATTTCTATAAAGCTCAATTATTCACATCCCACTTGCACTTGTTCTTACTAATTTACAGACAGGAAAAGGATTCTTGTGAAGGAAGGGTCTCACTCAGGGTCACAAAGTTGGTACGGGCTGGAGTCAGAATTTGAACCCAGAAGCCAACACCTCCAAACCCTGGGCTCTTTCCATTATCACCACTCACTCCTAGTGAGCCTAGAGGGGTCTGTGTCCACTCGGTCCAGGGGGAGTGGGAGGCAAACCCCCCGTCCCTCGCCAGCGCACGGAGAATTCTGTTCTACCTCCAGAAGCGCAAAAGAATTCTTCTAGAAGACGCGGGAAGGAAAGGAAAAAAGCGGACTCGTTTATCTGTGCTCGGGACTACAATACCCAAGATGACACGTGCCGAGCCCGCGAGAGTTTCCGGTATTGAGCCGAGTGAGTCATCGCCTGTTCCGGTGTTGACTGACGTGAGATTGAGCCAATAGCCTCAGCAAATTTCACTCAAGGGGCCAATCAGAGGTGGTGGAGTGGGTGGACTTTTTTTGTCCGGGTGGCCCATTACTCTTGGTTTGGGAGGAAGGGAACCTGGACCCTGAGAAGAGAAATTGGCGTTGGGCCAGAGTTCTTAAGCATTGGAAACACCATCCCTGCCTTTGACGTTCACCCCAATTTCCTTCACCAGACAAACACGGGTTCCTGTAGGTATTGCCAAAATTACTGTCAGTCAAGTGCCAGGACCCCACCTTAGTGAGCAAGCGCAGTTGGTTTTGGGGGGGGCGCTACCTCGCTTCCCTTTAGTGAGCATGCGCACATTTTTCTTAGCTGGGAGGCAAAGGAGGAGGTTGTGTGGTCTGGCTTCTCACTCTACGACACTCAAACCCGCTCTCAGTATCGTCGCAGAACTGCGGGAAGCTTAAAGGGAACCCATTCAGAGGCAGCTAGGTAGTGCAGTGGTTAGAGTCCTGGGCCTGGGTTCAAATCCAAACTCAGATACAGCCTGTGTGACCCCGGGCAAGTCAACGTTAACCTCAACTTCCACGTCTGTAGAAAGGGATAATAATAAAACCCCTACTTTCTAGGGTCATGAGGATCAAATGAGATGGTAATTGTTAAGTGCACAGTGCCTGGCATATAATAAGCGTTAGCTGTATTATTGTTTTATGGGTGAGGAAATTGAGGTCCAAGGAGGGTGCTCTTCTACTGAAGCAAATTTGATTTGAATTCTTTACCCAAAGATTTAATCAGCGCCCTTTGAGTTTTACAAAGTTCTTCCCTTACAGCGACCGTGTGAAGGAAGCAGGGCAAGTCAGTCAATAATGCATTCATTTATTAATCTCTTATTTCGGTGCCGAAGATACAAAAGAGGCAAAAGACACTCTTTGCCCTCAAGGAGCTGGCAATCTAATGAGGAAGCCAACAAGCCAACAATTATGTAAAAATACAAGCTATAAATGGGAAGAATTGAAGAAAAGGATTAAAAGGGATTGGAAAAGGCTTTCTGTAGAAGGTGTAATTTTAGTTGGAGCTTAAAGGAAGCCAGGAGCAGAGGGAGATCCATGAGGAGGCAGGTATGGGAGAGAACCGGAGAAAATGCCCCCAGCCAAGATACGGAGTGTCTTTCAAGGAGGTCAGCATCACTGAAGAGTTCAGGGGAAGGGAATAAGGGATGGAGGTCGGGAAATGGCTTAAGGTGTAAGAAGACTGGAAATATGAGGGAGGGGTAGCTATAGAGAGCTTTGAGTGCCAGAGGATTTTGCATTTGATCCTGGAAGTAACAGGGAACCACTGGAATTTTTGTGTAAGAGGGAGTGACATGGTCAAACCTTGGCTTTAGGAAAATCACTTTGCTGGCTGAGTGGAAGCTAGACAAAAATGGAGAGTCTTGTAGCAGGCAGACCAACCAATTATCTGATAATGAGGACTATGCCAGAGTGGTGACAGTATCAGAGAGAAGGAGGCATTTTGGAGAGATGCTACAAAAGTGAAATCAATATGTCTTGGCAACATATTGGGGGATGGGGTGGGCAGGGGAGCAAGGGTGTGTGCAGAGATAGTGAGGATGACACCCAGGTTGTAAACCAGGTTAACTGGGAGGACGGTGTTGCCCTCTTCAGTAATAGGGAAATTTGGGAAGGGGAGGGAATTTGGGGGAAAGATAATGAGCTCAGTTTTGGACGTGTTTAGTTTGAGGTGTCTGCTGGACATCCAATTCAAGATATCTGAAAGGCAGTTGGAGATGCAAAACTGGAGGTCAGCAGGGAATTTAGAGAAGGATAGGTAGATTTGAGAATTATCAGCATAGAAACAGTAATTAAATCCACAGGAGCTGATGAAGATTACCAAGTGAAGTAGTATAGAGGGAGAAGAAAAGGCCCAGAATAGAATACTCTGTGTCATTGTCTCTATTTTGTCAAGTTCAACAAGTTAGGATTCAGAGAGGTTCTGTAACTTGTCCATGATCACACAGCTAGTATGTGTCTAAAGTGGGATTTAAGCCTATATAGACCAGTTATCTTTGTCCCGTTCATCCTAACAGTCTCAACCCTTCTTTGAGCCTATTTTCCTCAATATAGCTTAAGAAAAACTCTTTAAAAAATTATCAGTTACTCAGCACCCCAGACGCTACTCTTATAGCACCCTGCCATGTTTTTGTATTCATCCTCTGTTAACAACCCTTGCCTCTACTTTCTATTTACTTATTTTTCTTTTCAGAAAAATATTTTATTGATGTTTTTGTTTTTTACAGCACAATCACTTATCAACAACTCTACCCTACCCTTGCTCCTACCATAGAACCCGTTCTTTCCACATTAAAAGGATAGAGAAAGTCCATAAGGGGCGGTCCCCCTGCCTGTGGCATAGGGCTCAAAGGGAGGCAGAATAGACATCTCTAGCCTCTTTTCCTCCCAGGCTTCTCCAAGAGAGACTTTCATTCTTACCAGGACAGAAAGCAAGGGAATTTGGGGCCTGAGGCCATTTTGCTCTCCTCAGATAAAGAGAGGGTACTGGGCTATTATTTCTATTTGCTGTCTTAAATAATAATTAATCTGGGGGATATGTTTGGGTTCCATCTAAAGCCTAATTGCTGTCTCACTATTACTGGGGAAGGGGGACCCCAAGCTCTATATACTTGACTTCTTTCTCACCAAATACTAGTTCCAAAATGAACACAAACACTGAGTAGTAAAGAAAACCCATTTATCCAAATCAGTCACAAAACAGAAATCACAGAAGTTATAATAAGAGAATATATACTCTCTTATACAGAGTGAAGGATCTTTCCCACTGGGAGTGAGATAATTTAGTTCAACCAAGAGAGACTGTCCTTGATCTCACCCAAGGGAAAACTCCCCAAAGTCTCTAATGCAGCGAGCTGGGAATAGGGACATGATGGAGACTCCTCTCATCTCCACCAATGAGAAGAGTCCCATGCCAGTTGGCTTTGGGACAGGGGTTACAAAAGGAAGAAAATAGTTAAGCACAGGAACTGGGTCTGATATGGAACATTCTATAACCTTGGTTCCTCAACTCTCTTCTGGTAGGAGGGAACCAGGATTGGTCATTGCATTTGATCTTAATTCAGTGGTCCTTAAATTCTCTGAGAATCAATTTCCTCTATTTGTAAAATGGAGATAATAATACCTATAGTAGCTACTTCTTTAGGGTTGTTGTGAATCTATGATGAGATAATGTATATGAAACATTTTGTAAATTTCTAAGTGTTGTATAAATCTATTGTTATTTATTAATATCACCATCATTGTTGTTTCTTTTGATGTTTTCACTAATATTATCATGCATATTATTTTGGGGCAGCTGGGTGGCACCCAGCAACACAGAATGGTTAATTTATACTCATAGCCAAGCACAGTATGGGAGGGTATGAACAGATGAACACCAGTTCAGTCAGGGCAGTCCCAAGTGGCCATCCTGACACCCAACCATACCACAGGGCAGCATGCTGGGTGTTGGTGGCCCAGATGAACAGTGGGATATGTTTTCCCATCAAAGACCCAGAGTTACAAGGGACCCTGGTTTACATAGGATTTTCAGGCAAAGGACCTGCTCTGTTAGCTCTTTGGTCACTAGTGGAGTAACAAGATTGTGGAACATGGACGAGTAACAAAAGTGGAGTCTCTAAAAATTAACCAGTAAAGCCTACTCAGGATGAAGAAGGTAGAATTATAACTGTGCTGCATCAGCAAGCTAGCTGGAGTCTCAGCAGCCAGTTCTAAGTAGAATTGTATATAGTTTAAGTCTTAAGCATAATGTAATGGGAAGCAGGCCTAGGAGAGTGGGGCCAGAGACTCCTCTATAGCTATATACCTTTCCACTTTGTGTTTCCTCTCCTGAATATAGGTGACCAAACAGGGAACCTGAGATGTATGTAGCAAGGCAACTTTGTGAGTTTATGAGGTTGGAAATTCTGGTTCCCTTCCACAGAGGTGGGATCACTGCATTGGAAAATATACCAATAAGACTAGAAGAATCTCAATCCCCAGGACAGCTTGCCAGAAGACATGGACCTAGAGAGAATTCTCTGAATGGTACAGAACCAAGGTGAAGTATAAAACGCCCATTCAGTACTTCATCATGTCTTGATATGTTAAGTATCAACCTCTAGGAGAATGAAAAGTAATTGTTCTACTGTTGCTGAATGTTAAGTTTTCTGTCATCGAATGCTTGTGAAAACCTTTTGTTTTTAACATTTCTTTTGTGTAGAGGAAATAAATAACTTTTTCATACCTTTTCTCCCCTTTGGGGAAGGGAAGAAATAAGCCTTTATTAAGCACCAGTAATGTGCCAGGCATTGTGCTAAGTGCTTTACAACTATTAACTCATTTAATCCTCATAGCAGCCCTGTGAGGTAGGTACTGTTGTTATCCCCTTTTTACGGTTGAAGAAACTGAGGCAGACAGAGGTAATGTGACTTGCCCAGGGTCATACAATTAGTAAGTATCTGAGGTCAAATTTGAACTCCGGTCTTCCTGACTTCAGGCCCAGTGCTCTATCTACTGCACCACCTAGATGTCTCTTGGGGGATTTGAGATTCTCCTCATGATCCTGATTCCCTCACTAGGAGACCTTAGAAGAAGAATGGCATCTTCATTTTTAGAATATTCCAATGTGAATAAGTTGATTTTGGGATGCTCACTTGGCCAAACTCTATTGACCTCATTCATTTGTTTTTAATACAGTCCCAGACCAACGAGGGGAACCTGCCCTTATAATGAGCAGGGAACATTTCATTTTTTGTTCTTGCATCCTCAGTGTAGAATAGAGCCTGACACAGTGTAGGTGCTTACTAAAATATTAGTTGGATTGAATTGAATTGAATCAAATCAGGAGTCCTCCTGATAACAAATGGGTTTTTTGCTTCTTAAAT